AGGCACTATGCTACCAGAGCTCCCATTGGTAGTAATAAAAGTGTCTAAATATCCTCCTAACAGCTGTGTGCTTTGTAGTCACATTACAAAGAGCCCACAGATACTTAGAATTGAGAGACAAAGGAGAAGCAATACAAGCAGCAATAGCACTAAAGATTTTGAAGTTTAGCTGGATAGACTAAACATAAATGCCATTTGAAAATAAAAACGACATCTTTCCTGGGACATTATTACTATGTTGTTGTTGTTGTTGATATGTGCCATCGAGTCGGACCCGACTCATAGAGAAACCTCCTTGGGTTTCCGAGGTAGTATCACTACGGAAGTAGATTGCCCCATCTTCCTTCTGAGGAGGGCTGGTGGATTTGAACCGCCAGCCTTCTGGTTAGCAGTAAAGTGCCTTAGGCACTATGCTACCAGAGCTCCCCATTATTACTATAGAAAATAATATATCAAAGAAAACACAGGCAAAAAAATAGCTGTCAACAGTTGAGAGATAACAACAAAGATTCAGTAATGCTATCTTATGTAAGTTTCTTAGTTATAAATTTGACTGTTATATTTATTAGATTTTATTACAGGTAAGAGCTCATTTCAGTCATCTTTTTACATTACTTTTTATATTAACCATTTTTTCAAGGTAGCAATGACCATTGGATATCCTCAAATAATTTTACAGAAGGAGATGCTGGTCTGGAATTCTTGCAAGCCAACTTGATCTTTTCTGAGGAAGTTCCAAAATAGTCCTTTTGAGAAAAGTTTATATAGGACATTTTTATAAAACTTACTGTAATATCACAGCAGTTGTTATCATTATTAGATAACTCTCCACACTCTAAGGGCCCACATTCTGTGATGAGGAATGGGAAAGACAGTATTAGGAGAGACCATAAAAAGCATTTTATTTCTGTGACTTTTAACTTGGAGTTATTTGTACTATGACTATCTCTTACCTGCTTACAGTTTGTAGGAATCTGGGATAATTCAATAATAAGCCACAAAAAATTCAGACTTTACTGCGTGGTGGTGAACATTAGAAAGATCAATGTGCTAGCATATCTGAATAGCATTACTTCAGACCTAAATCAAAACTCCATTAAAAATTATGATTTTGATTTCTACCATTCTAAAGAATGACAGACTTTTTTTTTTTCCCTTCTTGTCAAGGTGTTACTGTTCAAATAACAAAGACGATAACAATCAGAATTTCTAACCTAGATGAAGATTGTTTAGTGTTTGTTCAACTTACCATTTTAACTTCTCCTTGAACCACCAGGCAAATCATCAAAGCCATCATAATTTCCCCTTGGCCAGCAGGAAAACAATGTTTTACATCTCAAAGGCTTCAGGTTAGAGTTGATTCAACATTCTCTTCTTTTTAATAAAATGAATCAGGTTTACATTTCAAAGACTTAACTAGGATTGAACTGATCTATATTCAGTTATAACCCCACACAAAAATGTTTATATAGTGTAGTTTAAAAACGCCATTTTAGTCAAGTTGTACCAGAAGATATATAATTAATGTATGACTAAAAATTGTTCTTATGAAAATGAGTAATTTGACAAATCCTTGTAAATTTCCCTCCTTTCTCATGCACTTCTGTCTTTGATGTGAAATCATTTCCCATTGTTTAATTAACCAAAACAAACAAACAAACAAAAAACAACATTTAAAGCAAAGGTGGGCATTCATGCATTTTCCTGCAAGATGCCCTGTTCCTCCATTTCATAAAAAGTAATTATATCTTTGTGGTAGTTAACGTTATTTTCAACTTGGCTGGACCTGGTTGGTTGAGTGGCTGGGCAGCTGGAAGTAGTTATTCCCTATGGTAAGATTGACAATCACTTGCATGGTGGAATCTACTGGTGCAACTGAGTAGCTGCTTTAGTGATGTGGTATGTTTCCAGTGTATAAGAAACAGCTTTGAGGAAGATCTCCAGCTTTTTGCCACTCTTGGGCCTTGAATGTAACTAAGTCTTCATTAAGCAGCCTTCCATGCTCTGCTGTTCTTGGGACTTTTAATAGACTTGAATCAATGCCTGCCATGTGGTTTGGTAGTATCAGGACTGTGCCTTTTTACTTGTTGACCTTGGGTTCATCAGCCTCAGAAACCAACAGCTGACTGAGAGGAAAGATGCCTCTTGTTTCAATGAGCCAGGAGCAAGAGGCAGAGCTAAAGTCCAAGGTTGAGGGGCTTTCACCAAGCCCCCTAAAACCTGGCACTTTGAACTCAGAATTCTAGCCTCCCAAACTGTAAGAGAAAAAATTCCTGTTTGTTTGAGCCATTCCATTTGTGTTATATTCTTGTCAGAGTGGCACTAGGTAACCAAAACAATCTTTAATAAAAACTTTTGGTTTATTTTCTAACAGAACATCAATCTAGTGTTTCTGCTAAGAAAACTGTATGTTTCCATTGGGAATTTTCTTTATCTTTTCTCCCTCATCTACAGATCAACAGGTCAGAAAGAGAAAATATACAGAGAAATCACATAATAGATAATGGCAAAATATTTTATAAGTAAATGGGTTTTAGTCTATACTACCAAGGAATGCTATTTAATAGATAAGCCATACAGGTATATAGAATTCCAATGAAGAGCATTTTCAAGGAGTACAAGTGTGACAATAGAGACTATCAACCTAAACAGAGTCCGTATTACCTCCAATTCAGAGTCACTCCATCTTTAACCAATTCACCATTTATATTTTCAATTTCAGAAAATTTTAAGGTACTGTTTGAGAGAAACAAACCCAAAATCTGTTGTACCTAATGATCATCAGTGTTGGGTGGTTTCTCAAGGACAATGCCTTAGTTATCTCATGCTACTATCACAGAAATACCACAGATGGATGGATTTAACAAACAGAAGTTTATTCTCTCACAGTTTAGGAGGCTAAACATCTGAATTCAGGGCACCAGTTCTTGGGGAATGTTTCTCTCTCTGTCACCTCTGGGGGAAGGTCCTTTTCTTCTTTCAACATCAGTTACTCAGGCATTCTTTAGAGCTCTCCATGTGTGTTGGCATCAATCTTCCTGTGGGCCCAGCAGTTTGTCAGCACAGGGACCCTGCCTCAAACAATATGCTCCATTCCCTGCTCTTCATTCTTGGTGGTATTCAAGTTCCTCCTTCTGTGCTCCTATCTTTCCCCCTTTATCTTTTCAAAGATAAAAAGTGAGGTAGTCCACAACCCAATGAAATTTCTCTTACATCAGATCGGGTCAGTGACTTGAGCAAGGGTATTTCATATCACCCTAATCCTTTTACAACAGACTGGCTGCTCACATCAGATCACATCATGGGAAATGATTATATCATTACACTACTTCCAAACCACTGAGTATCATGGTCCAGCCAAGTTGACAAATTGTGGGAGGATGAAATTCAAGCTGTAATAGCTACAGAACTGATGTACTACACAAAGAATGCTAAAATACTCTTTTGTGATGTATGAATTTATAGTTTATAGGTTATTCAATGCAACATACAGAGACTTCTGTCAAATATGGATTAAGATTTCTAAGCATCCCAGAGTTCTATGCCATGGCCTTACCTCTCACCTGCCAAGATCTCAAGAATTGTTTTGAAAGACTTTAGTCTTACATCATAGAATCAACTGATGCTGTATTGAGACATAAAGTTGTTTGCCTGTTCTTCAACCAGCAGGAAAAAAGCTGGAGACAGTATTCTAAGTAGGCTAGAAGTCATGTTGAAGGAAAAACAATTACTTCTCTCTACTAATGTTTAATCTGTTCCCTTCTATTGTAGGAAAACAAGGCCCTTACCTCCTGTCACAAAGAGCCAATGAGTACAACAGTTTGAAGAGGGAAAGAAAAAGGTTGATTGAGTATTGATACCCAAGGAGACTGTGAGAATGATTTCTCCAAAATGCCTACCTCTGCTCAAGCAAAGGGGTGAACATGATTACTCAGGGAAATTGGAAGGGGTTGCAGATTTCTTGGATGACCAGGACTGCCTTTGTTCCTGTCTTCCCTGGTTACTACAGGTTCAGTGTCCCTCTTCCCAGGGTCAACTTCCTCCATAGGCTACAGTTCTTAGCCAAGACCAGTTGTGGGAGAAGGGTAGGCTTAAAAGAGTACATAATTGAAAATAGCAAATCTAAACAACAATTGTCTGTACAAGACTGGTTATTCTATTTACCTCAAAGGAAGACGAAGGGAAGAAAAAATAGCAAGTTAGTCCCTTTAATTAATATCCACTGTATTTCCATAGTGATACTGCCTCGAAAACCCAAGGAGGGGTCACTACGAGTCAGATCTGACTCGACAGCAGTGAGTTTGGTTCGGTTTGGTAATCATGGCTGCTAGATGTGAAAATTCTACAGGTTTCAGGGAGGGCCCCCTTCTGCCTTCCACACTACCAAAATGAAAGTGAACATTTATCTTTGAATAGAATAAGGAGATTAAGAAGGGGAAAAATGACACTACAGTAGTTTATATGAGAGCTTTCGTAGTAAATTCAATTCAGTGCACGACTAACAAGAACTCAAGACTGAAATCAACTTCACTAAACTTCACTAACGTAAAGTCTTCTGGGCAATAGTTTAGAATTCCTTTTAAGTCTCAAACTGCTGTTGCCTTGCCATTCTGGGTTACATTACAGTGGTAGAGTTTGATCTGCTACAGTTAATGGCTTGTAATCTCCATAGAAATGTACTCTACAATGAAATCTAACTCACAAGTTGAAGATAAGTCATAAAATATTTTTCGATGGGTATTCCATCAATTGGAGCTGAAACACCGGTAGGACCTTGGAGAGGGTTACACAACCGTTTCCAAGCTTGGTCTGAGTGGACTGCCCCGCAGCTTCTGACCAGTGGTTCATTGAGGCCCTCGGAAGCAGGTGGACAGAGGTTTCTCCGAGTGGGTCCGGCTTTAGAGGTGCGGGCTGAGCCTGGCCGGCGTCAAGGGCTGACGGGGAAGGTGTAGGTGCGTTGTCCAGTCATAGGCTGACAATCTCCGGCGGCCCCAGCGACCATGCCCCGCAAAGTCACCCAGCCATCCACAGCCTGGCGCAGAGAAGAGGAGCCGCTGCCGTCTCCGGACGGTGCTAGCACCGACGCCGAGTCCGAGCCACTGCCGCCCGGCCGCACCGAGAGCCCGACTGCTGCCGCCGCAGAGACTCCAAGTGAGGAACTTGATAATAGGAGTTTAGAAGAAATTTTGAATAGCATCCCTCCTCCACCACCTCCAGCAATGACCAATGAAGCTGGAGCTCCTCGGCTTATGATAACTCATATTGTAAACCAGAACTTCAAATCCTATGCTGGGGGAATAATTCTGGGACCTTTTCATAAGCGCTTTTCATGTATTATTGGGCCAAATGGCAGTGGCAAATCCAATGTTATTGATTCTATGCTTTTTGTGTTTGGATATCGAGCACAAAAAATACGGTCTAAAAAACTCTCAGTACTAATACATAATTCTGACGAACACAAGGATATTCAGAGTTGTACTGTAGAAGTTCATTTTCAAAAGATAATTGATAAGGAAGGAGATGATTATGAAGTCATTCCTAACAGTAACTTCTATGTATCCAGAACAGCCTACAGAGATAATACTTCCGTCTACCATATTAGTGGGAAGAAAAAGACATTTAAAGATGTTGGGAATCTTCTTCGAAGCCATGGAATTGACTTGGACCATAATAGATTTTTAATCTTACAAGGTGAAGTTGAACAAATTGCTATGATGAAACCAAAAGGCCAAACTGAACACGATGAGGGTATGCTTGAATATTTAGAAGATATCATTGGTAGTGGACGGCTAAATGAACCTATTAAAGTCCTTTGTCGGAGAGTTGAAATATTAAATGAACACAGAGGAGAGAAGTTAAATAGGGTTAAGATGGTGGAAAAGGAAAAGGATGCATTAGAAGGCGAGAAAAACATAGCTATTGAATTCCTTACCTTGGAGAACGAAATATTTAGGAAAAAGAATCATGTTTGTCAGTATTACATGTAAGTATCTTAATTTAAACCCTCCTTCCCCTTTTTGTATTTTTTTACTTACTTTTTGACTATTCCCTTTTCTCCTATGTTAGAAAAAGGAGCTCTGGTAGCGTAGTGCCTAAAGCACTTGACTGCTAACCAGAAGGCTGGCAGTTCAAACCCACCAGCACTCCTTGGAAGGAAGATTGGGCAATCTACTTCCATAGTGATACTGCCTCGGCAACCCAAGGAGGGGTCGCTATGAGTCAGATCCAACTTTACAGCACATATCAACAACAATGTTAGAAAAATGAAGACAGAAGGGAAAAATATTCTAAAAATTATTTTTTGTGATAAACTCGTGAGTTAGGTTTATTTCCCATAGCATTGAAATTGACTTTTTAGTATCCTACTTGAAGTTGGGAGATGGTTCACAAGTATTTATTACCATATTTAATAGCTTTACATGTACTTTTTTCAAAAAAATTCATGTAATAGCAGATCTAATTTGTTTATATTGAACCTATCTTTTTTCCTAATTCTAGCCTTGTATCTGGGTTCTTTTTCCCTCAGTGGCCCTAGGTAATTGTGAAGTGACTATAATAAGAGTACTTTAGAAACAGCTAGTTATACTAAAATAGTTCACACAGTTTTTTAGAAGTGGAATTTTGGGATCTCTCAATTTCTGTTATTCTCTCTTCTAGTTATGATCTCCAGAAAAGAATTACTGAAATGGAAACTCAAAAGGAAAAAATTCATGAAGATACCAAAGAAATTAATGAGAAGAGCAATATACTGTCGAATGAAATGAAAGCTAAAAATAAAGCTGTAAAAGATGCAGAGAAG